AAACGTATGTTTTATCCACACATTTTGAATAATTGACAAATTACTAGTCAATTATTATCTAGACATTTCATTGGACCCATGACTTACAAACACTTACATACATTGCAAAACTTTTTGGGTGTGTGTATATATATATAAAAGAAAAGTTGGAGAAATTATTTTTTTACCTGATTAACTTGGAGAAATTATTTTTTTACCTGATTAACTCCTTTTGGAGGGCACCACCTTGCTTTCTTCTTTTTTTTTTTTTTTTTTTTTAGGAGGAATCATATCTTTTAAGTTCTAATATCATTAATTAGGTTTAACTCTTTTTTTTCCCCCAAAAATCAGGAGATAATTAGCTTTTTATCCGTAGCTTTGTTGCACTACCTACTGCTACTTTAGCCCTCGTTCAGTTCCATTATATTTATTGAGTTTGAATGTACTTTATGATATATCTAATTGTGTGAAAACACCTCATGAAGATCCGATTCATTTTGAATTAAATCCAATTTTCTGCCATTATTTTAAGGGTTTTTTTGATTCAATTTTGTGGCCTTTTTTTTTTTTTTACAAGGTATCAAATTCTTGACTAATCCTTGGGTCTGTGATCCGGCCTCTCTTCACACAGTCCAGTTAATCGCGGGATGTGCCTCCAACTAGCCAGGGTCCGAGCCCTCCCCACCTGATCTGCCAAAGTGTCAAGCAAGCCAATCCAAGTTGCACCTTGCCTTCCAAGAATAATCCTTGCCTTCCAAGATTTATCTTGCCTTCCAAGAATAAATCCTTGCCTTCCAAGAACCCCATGAATCGAACTCACGACCTCTGATCTGCCAGGTTTGACAGAGCCCGTCCTTTGCCAGTGGAGAAGTGCCCCGGGGGGCGGCACCACCTTGCTTTCTTCTCCTAGGGGAAGTGGCACCAAAATTGGTGGTGATAGCATAACTGTCAGTTGCTTTATTCATACTACCCATAACCCAATCACTGTTGGCCTTGACATCGGCCCTGGCCGCCTCCGCCAGCTCTACCATGATAGCATTATCTTTGGCAGCTATCGTCGCCACCTGGGGATATGGTCAAGGTTTCATCGTCGTGCTTCACCATTGGCTTCCAGAACTCCTTTACCATGCGCTTCACCTTATCCAAATAGCTGCCCTTTATTGAGTCAGCTTCCATTCCCCAGTTCAATGGATCCTTCAAGCAAAATCCAAAACTTTGCTATCATTTTCCATTGTACACTCCATACGTGAAAGAATGGAAAACAATGAAACGATATATATAAGCAGTCATATTTATAGAAAGTGGGGTGGGGGTAGGGGTGGGGATGCATTAATGTGGTTGGTAAAGTTTGTGGCTTCAAATAAGGAGTATGGTTTGTGGCTGGCAGTAGTACGAGTGAGTAACGGTGGTTGACGGCCGACCATATGTGGGTTAGTTGAAGATTAATCTTCACCATAGTTTTGTACTTTGTTTTAATTAACGTTTTGGATTTGCTTAAATATGGATATAGGGCAGATTTAGTGTGAACAATAGGGTTCGTCGTCCTCGTGCTAAATCTAAAATTCAAGATTTTTCAATAGATTTTACACAAAATTTCCATTTTTTTTTATAATTTTCAATTTTGCCCCCACAGTTAAAATTTTGTGAAATTTGCCTCCACAATTCTACTCTCCTAGCTTAGCCCATATAGCTGATTTTTTATTTTCTTATTTTTAAAAGAAAAGTGTTGGTCAGTGGGACTAAAAATTATTCATAATTAGTGAATTGCAATTACAAACAAAGATTATTTTGGACCAAATTATTAGAATTTCTGCTATTTCTTTTATCTAACACGATTTTTACACGAACAAGATTCAAGGAAGCAACTAACTGATATTGTAATAAATAGCATTTTTTTTCTCTCTTCTTAAGAATTTTTGGATTTTTTCATCTATTAATTTGAGATGGAATATCATGAAAAAGATGGAGCGAGTTTGTAAGATTTGATGTTGTTAGTTGAGAAAAATTTCGATGGAGCGGTTGCACCATTCTACTTGGTGCGGCCACTGAATGGGGAGCCATCACCTCATCGAGTTGCCCATCCTCACCCAATGAGGTAAGGTCATCTCGAGACTCTTTTTTCTCTCTCGCTTTTCATCTAAAATCTAAAGGTGGGACCACCAATAAGGTGGTGGCTCTCCATTTGACGGTTGCATCACATAGGACGGCAGTCATAGTGTAAATAAACTTATCCTTTTAACATTGTTCTCTCTGAAGTAATAGTGAAACAAACCTCCGTGCCCTCCTGGTGGCGTGGTGTGCTTCTATTATAGTGAGCAGTGTTATTTGCAAAATGAGGTCGGGGCTTTCTCCTTCATTTTTATCTCTAGCGTGAGAATTAGCATTGAATTTAGAAGTGTAGGGGAAAGCGAAGTGTGTATTCCGATAGCCAAAGTTTTTCAAATCCATATCTATCTCGCCTTAGAGATATTTATAGGTGATTGAAACCCTGTAATTGTTGTGTGGTTTTATTGCCACGTAGGGATGTCAACGAATCGAAACTTGAGACTCAAGCTCGACTCGGTTAAAATGATCGAGCTTTTTTCAGGCCCGAGCCGTGCTGAGCAAAAGCTCGCCCAAAAATTTTAAATCGAGCATTTCCGAGCCGAGTCGGGTAGGCCCTTTTTTTATATTTATTTTATATTAAGCCTTTGGCTACCTTAAAAAGACAGCAGTTTGCTGCCACCTACAATTTATTTATTTACTATAAAGGCTCATGGGCTGACTCTCCAAAATGGGGCTCGGGTCTGCCGAGCCTCAAGTTGAGCAGCTCGAGCTTTTCTCGGGTCGAGCCGACAAGCCTGATTGACATCCCTAATTGCCACGTGTCCCACATAGCACCTCTCACTATACGCACGTTATGAGTGGAGGACCATCGTTTATTTAGCGGTTGATTGTGTCCATGATATCCGTTAAACAAACTTCATACGATTCGACGATATTTTCATGAAAGAGCGTTATGTTGGACTTGTAGCGTCGTATGGCCTCATATGGGTCGACTGCTTAGCATTGATGTAGAGGGCCTCTTAATGGTCGACGACCTAACATGGATGTAGAAAGTTGTAGAGGGTCTCTCAGTGGTCGATGGCCTAGCATGGTGTAGAGGGTCTCTCAATGGTCGACGACCTAGCATGAGGTGCTCTATGTAAGGTGTTCATGGGATAGCATTCACCTCGTCGGTTGTGGTGAGCAGTTATTGGTACTATCTCTTGCTGGTCGATTACCGTCAGCCACACCTAAGGCTGCGTCGATCGGCCCCCCGAAAGATGGCTCGGTCGATATGCTCGTCCCTTCATTATCACTTGCATTGGAAGAAGTCAAGATAGTTTTGTACATGATAAGAGGAAAGTTAAGTTCAAAAGCTAGAATAAAGGAAGAAAGGTGGAAGATGTTATCTTGGCTATTGAAGAAGCTAGAGGTTGTAAAATGAGGAATAAATAAGGACTCCCCCCTTTATTTAGAGCAATGATTTTGAATTTTTTTGGGGGAAGTCTCCCCGTAGAACCAAACCCACTCATGGGCCACCATGTGTATGGTATTGTCACCACCATACTTCACTTGGATCGCTTAACCCACTCACACTACACCAAGTGTCGACGAGAGAGGAGTAGATCTTTAAAAAAAAAAAAGGTAGTAAGCGGAGGGATAAAAATGCTACTCTTTCTCGATAACTATCGACAAAAATGTAGAGAGGCTAGTGATGTTAGATAGTACCAATAACCGTTCACCACAACCGTCGAGGTGAATGCTACCACATGAACACCCTACGTAGAGCAACTCCATACTAGGATGTCGACCATTGAGAAGACCTCTACATCCATGCTAGACTGTTAACCATATGAGGCCATCCAACACTACAAGTCCAACATAACGCCGATTCATGAAAATATCGTTGAATCGGATGAGGTTTGTTTAACGATTATCACGGACACAACCAACCACTAGATAAACGGTGGTACTCCACTTAGAACGTGAGGTGCTATGTGGGACATATGGCAATAAAAACGCATGGCAGTTACAAGGCTTCAATCACCTATAAATATCCTCAAGGGAAGACAAGTGTAAATCTGAAAAACTTTGGTTATCTGAATACACACTTCGCTTTTCCCTACACTCCTAAATTCAATACTAATTCTCACGTAAGAAGTAAAACGAGGGAGAAAACCCGTGACCTCATTTTGCAGGTAACACTTGTCCACCGAAATAGCAGAGACACCCTACATCGCCATGAGGGCACAAAGGTTTGAGCTATTTTAGGCAATTAGTTATTGGATAAAGCTACTTTGCTAGGAGAATTTGACATAAAGCTTGACATAATTTTATGTGCTAGTAGATGATTGCATGGAAAAGCTTATTGTATTTTAAATTGACCAATAATAGAATACCAATTGACATTATGTTAACATTGATGTTCATGTAGCATGATTGTTAATTATTTGATTCTTTCATCAATTTTTCATCACTACCACACCCAAACTTCGATTTTAATATTACTCGAGTACCAATGGGAAAATTGTCAATTTTAAAATGTCAATAACGACATACAACAAAAAATTCTTATAACAATATTTACATTTACCCTATTTACGCCAGTGACTCGTGACTCGATATATACATTTAAACTCACCAATGAACTCGTATCTTGACGACCTCATACATTAAACTTTGCCAATGAACATACGGCTTAGCACGTTCACGTAAGAGAACCAGACAAAATTTCCTGGAAATTATGATTTATTCATTGTATCTTCGTGTTTTTATTAGAAGGGAACTTCAAGGAATTTAAGATTTATTGCTTTAAACGGTGAGAGATCAAATGCAATGTATAAAATCAAGCAATTGAAGATAGCAAAATTACCTAAAATGGAAAACAGATGACATGCCCAGCAAGGGCGTTATTTCTGCAGCAAACAAAAACATTTTATTATTTTTATTTTTATTTTTATTTTTTTGGATAAGTCTGCAACAAACAAAAACTCAGATAACTTGTTAATATGACGATCTTAGATTCTCTGCTCCATTGCTTCACAATTTGACCTGTAAAATTGAAAGGGTGAAGGAAGAAGCTCCCATGGCAATAAATATACTTCCACCTCTTTCCCCTCTCGTTTTGGTCTACATTCAGCACATTATATCCTATGTATACATATGATAAAAGTACATATAAACTCAATAAGGAACAAAGATTTAATACAAGAAAGCGCAAGTTCATAGCAACCGGGCGCATCTTGATGCCAAGTATGAGTTGTTACACAAAATCAAGCAACCCAAATAGCATTTTACGCCCGGCTTCTACAAACAGAGAACAAAGGTTACAAGCCCTGGGAAGGTGATTGTGGGACCTTGTGCAGCCCAGGCTCGACCTCCTGATATCCAACTGGTTTATTTGACAAACGACGTTTGTAGCGGTTCAGTACAGATGCCAAATTTATTTTTCCCTTGGGGAAAGCAACGTCACCAGCTGCAGTGCCTGATCGACCCTTTCGGCAAGATATAGCGGTTTCAACATCTTTGATGACATCTAAAAGCGAAGCTGCAGTAGTAAATTTTCCCCGACCTGGCTTCGGAGGTGGGGGCAAGCTCCCATTTGAAATTGGGGGACTTGACCTTTGCTGGTAGTCTACAGAAAGCTGAAGGCAGAAGCAGGGAGCCATTGGAGAACGAGGTTTAGAAAAGGCTAGATCAATAATCCCCTGCAGAAAGATGCATACATGTAACAAAAGGTAATTGAGGAAACTGCAGATAACAGAATAAAAATGTTATTGTTGGGTT